GGCTCCTTGTTTCAGGAGTGTCTCCCCCATGCATGGGACCTGGCCCTTGGGGACAGGAGAGGCTGCTGCCTGTGCCCTGGCTCCTCGGGAGGCAGGGATGCTGCAGGCAGCACCAGGATGCTCTTAAACCACTCGGTGATGAATTTATGGGCTCTTGGTGGCTCACATCCACCACCAATTACTAGTGAGTCACTGCCACACAGCTGCTCCTTGGCTGAAGACAAGACTTGCCTGGTTTGTGAGCATGGCTTCTTTATGAGCACATTTGCTCATAAATCATTTCCTCTGTGATAGACATCCCAAAGACACTTGGGACCCAGCTCCTTGTGCCAGCGACAGCTTGGCTTTGGGCTCCCACCAGAGTCAAAATGGGACCAAGGCTGCAGGGAACCGTCGGGATGATGAAGCTGTGGAGATGCCCTTGGATCCCCCTGAACCTCTGTAACGCTGCCTGTGCTTTGGGGTTCATCTCAAGGAGAGCACTCCTTGGGCACTGTGTGGATCTTCTGACTGACGAGGCATTTTAAGGAATCTTTCTGAGGAACAAGATGACATTTTCATGAGGAAAACTGTCATGTCTCAGCAGTGAATGAAGCTAAGAAACATCTTCAGCTTTACAGCTATTTATAATTACTTGCGAGTCATTTGCTTTCCAGTCGTTAAGAGCTTCACTGAAATAAAACCCCTCCATTCAGCTGCTGTGATAAATGGCACCACATAAAGCAGTCAAGACTTTTTTTTCTGGCAGCATTAAAACCAATACAAGTCATCAAAAAGAATCCCAAATCCACACTGGATACGGTGATGCTATTGCTGAAACATAAACCTCTGTTAATATTATCATCAGTACAAAGCAGGTGTCAGAAAAGCCCATCAGTTCCCCAGCACAGCACCCTGGTGACATTTCTGTTGGCATACTCGGGTTTCGCATCCGGCTGCTTTTATTTAAGCCCTTCATTGTGGCCTCGGGTGTTTATGGAGTATGGCATGGTTCAGTGCTTGGTTTCTGGCCTGTCCCTCTTCTGCTGAAGTTCCTGTTTTCCTCGTGGAGACAGAGCTTTCACCAAAGAGATGCTCATTAACAGCTTATCTGCTGGGACAGTGTCCCACTTTGTGCTCTCAAAACCAGGGACTCAAGTGAGTCACTGATCCCTTTATGGAAGTGCACTTCACCCAGGGAAAATTACTTTGAACCATAACTTGATAGTAGTATCCTCATGCTCTCCATCCTGCTGACTCTCCTTCTTCTGTTTTGAATAGCTGTTCCGTTATCATTCAGTGGATGGCAGCCAGGAGAAGATAAGCCATGAAGGAGTGTGTGAAAACTTGCAGGATCATACTGTGATGGAGTCTTTCACCCATCAAAGTTAGTATCCTTGAATTTACATATGATGCATTTCATCTGATTATTAAAATAATTGATTTAAAGTGGCCTATACTGGGAAGGTAAGAGGTTTTCTTAGCAAAAGGATTATTGCCTTAGAGTGTGCCCCCTAAATGATTTTGGACAAATGAAATGGTTAAAGAAAGTGAAAGCTGAATTAAATTCTACTTATTGCAAGGAGGACATTGGGATGGATCAGTTTCATTTACTACATACCATGCAGCTGTCGAAGGCAGGACAGAGATCCCACCAGGGCTGTCCCAGAGCAGGGGAGTCGGGATCTGCTTCCACCCTCTCCAGCCCCCTCTCCCCCAAACTCACCTCTTTTCCAGGATCACCAGACTCCGCTGCAGCTCCTTCAGAAGGCAGAGCACTGTGTACTCCAACCGCTGCTGCTGCCATGCTGCTCCCAAAGACCAGCAAAGCCAGTGCTAAACCCGTTCCAAACCCTACCCCTGCCTGTGGAGCCCTTGCTCGCTCAGCAGCTTGGCTTCATCTTCACCTGAAGGTCTGACATGTCTGTGGGGATGGGAGGGCCACGATTCACGCTTGGTGTTACTGGCCCCTCAAGACTTAGCTGCTCTAGTAAAGGAGAGGAGAAGCTGCATCCTCTGAATTCCTCCCATCTACTTGTCCTTCCCAACATGCAGCAATAGAGAGTCCCTGCACCTTGCAGGATGAAGGGCCAGAAGCAGTACACTTGACTCATGACTTAAAAACAAATACAAGGAAAACAACTTATGAAAACTCTAGAAACAATAGAGCCTTGAGATGTTTCTACCTGGATTCCCCATATCTCAACCTCTGCGCACATCTGAACACATTCACAGCCCAGGACACATTCCCACCTCGGCTCAGCCGCTGCCATTGCCCATGGTGAAGCCAAAGTGACCTACAGCAGCTGAACCAAAGGGTCAGGGATTTGCTCCATCCCACCTCCGTGGGTCCCCAGGGGTGATGGGCAATGCAGCTGCTGTTCCAGATTTGGCACACAGCATTGCACAGCACCACAGGCACCAGCTAAATGGCCACACTGATGACACAAGAAAGGGCAGCTGGAGATGCCAAAATCAGTATTAAAAAAAAAAACAAACATCGGAGGCTTTTATTTGCAGAAAACAAAGAAGATGCACATAAGAAATCATAGAATCATAAACATTTTGGGTTTTATTTTAACTGGAAATTGCTCTTTTAGAGAAGTCACCACAGATCCAAGATAGCAGGTCACTGCAAATGGCCACAGAAAGGGTTTTACTGAAAATATGTGCAAAAGATAAAAGCATTCTTAGGAAGGTTCATGTCTCTGCACGTTCTGCCCAGGCTGACAGAAAAGGAATCTTTCAAAATGCACACCAAAGGGGGACCAAGCTCTGACTTTCTGCTTGGAGAAAGATTTGATTGAATGAATGGAAGGAAAAAAGTCATTTTCACAGCTTATGACTTTTTATACATTAAGGAGTATAGCTTCCAAGGGCAATGCTTTTTCTTGCGTTCCTCAAGTGTCAGGGGACACATTCTGAAGACGTGATGACAGTCAGGACCGTGCTGCTGCTCGCTGCTCTGCTCCTGCCACCCGGGAGGACACTCGCAAGGGCTGCACCAGCCTCTGCAGCACTAACACACACAGAATGTGTACTTCATGTTTCATGGGTTTATTCACCTTCTGTATTGATTTTTAAGTACTTTCTAGCCCATACTTACTTAATAAATTTGACTATTTCTCCTTACAGGGTACTGAAATACATTTTCCCCTTACAGCAGTAGTTACTGTCATTAACTACAAATTTAACTGCGAGTGGCACCTGGTTCCAAAGCTACACAAGAATTATCTGCTTTTGATACAACATATTTATAGCCCATTCACAATACTCAAAAGGAAAGCTCCCAGGTATGCAAGTATTGCAGGATCCTAATTTTCCCTGCTGATCCAGCATCGTTAGGGACCTCATGCAGTACATGGCACCCGGACTACAATTTCAGGCTGACCTTTAGCATGTTGGCCATTGAGCAATGAATCAGCTGTCAAGAGCTCCCAGCCTTACAGCCCCCTGCCTAAATCCGTAACTGTGCTCTAAAACCAAGCCAGCAACGCTGCTGTTTCAGATCCCGCTGCTGCAGGAAGGATGCTGGGTTGTGACAGGTCCCTGCTGCAGCAGCCAGCACTGCTCAGCACCACAACCTGGGTAAACTGAGCAAAACAGAATTGGCTCCTCCTCCAGCCTCCTTAGAAGTACCCTCACACTCCTGCTTAGAGCTAGAGCTCACAGTATTGGTATTGACAGAGTTTTTTGAGGCTATTTTCTGTCTATGACAACGGATATCATTACCACATTAAAGAAAATGAAGTGCTGCTAATTTAATTGTAACTAAAACATAGAATAAAGACCTCCAAGGGATGCTCAGCAGCTGATGTAAACTGGTCTATGTGAATTTCATTGACCATTATGCATACAAATATTTTTATTCTTCTCTGGTGAACTGCACAGAATTTAAATTGGTCTTGTGTTAATTGCTATGATTAAAAGACAGACCTAAAAGTAGAAGTCAATAATTACTCTCTTTCAGAAGGTTTGCTTTTAGTACAAAAAAATCCCCAAACAAACAAAATAAATCCGCTTCCCCTTTCTCCTCTGCATCCACTTACCTCAGTGGCATTATTACAGATCATAGTGGCTTCAGAATTAGCCTGCTCTGAGCAAAAATATTGCTGGGAACCATGGTTTGAGGAGGAATATTTTTGAAAGCGCAATGTCTCATCCCAATTACAGCTACAGCCTAAAGTCAAAAGACAAACGACACTCAATCTTATAAGATTTTGTGCTGTCTTTGCAAAGTTCCCAGTGAAAGGCTGTGAGCAAAGCTCCCAGGCTCAGTGAGAGCATCTCTGAACCTTTTGCGTGGTATGTATTTTGCTTACAAGCTGTACACTCTTGTTCAGGTGTACTTTAATTCTCTTGCATTGCTGTATTCCACTACAAAGCTCCATCATCTTCTAAGGAAGATGAGACTTTCAAATGCTAGTATTTATTTTAAAGCTAGAATACTGAATGTGCAATGACCTTCCAATTGCTTTCAAATGTCATAACTTCAAACTGAAATAGTGACACATACTAATGAGAATGTTTTCATGGATGTATTAAAAACAAGCGTATTCCTGTGGACTCGAAGCCTGCTCCATCCCTCAGCTGCCCCACGTCTCCCCCCAGCTGAGCCACGGAACTAGAGCATCAGCATCTGCCTGACCCCAAGCAAAACACTGTTCGGTGGTAGCTTCCAACAGGGGAGAGCAAGCTCCTGAGGGCTGGGATGTGAGCAGGAGTAGCCACAACATGCAAAGCCACCTCCTTCAGCAGCAAGGCTGTGTGTGGCACACGAGCTCACTGAGGCTCCAGCTGGACTCCAGCACTTCATATCCAAGAAGTTAAACGGCCCACAGTGCTGTAAACAAAACTCATCAGCACACCAGTGTGGTTATTTTAAGGCAGTCTAAATGACAGCTATGTGAAAATTCAGCATTTACTAGTTACCCAGATACACCGAAAACGGGAAAAGAATTAAGAAGCATCTCTCAGCGTTAAGCCTTCTGCGTAGTTTTAAGCTTTGCAGCACTGCAGCACTAGCTCTTCTTCCGCTTGCTCTTGGGAAGCAGTTGAACATTTCCCAGCATGTGGGGCCAATGCGACTTCCTTTTGTTAACTCTCGGACCCATGAAAGTGCTGCTGGAAAAAAAAAGAAAAGAAAAAGGAAAATAGGGGTTTGTAGATGCTCTAAACACAGCAAATAACGAAGGCTCTATTAAAGAGGTGTAAGCAGTATGTGGCACACACACATATATGTGTTACTGGTGACGGTGAAGAGAAATACTGCTCTGCTGTCTCGTTCAAAGAAGGTGACAGCACCCACGAACCACACCATCCACCCTGAGCCTGCTGGGATAGTGCCTCTCCTCCCGTCACCAAGGACCACTGTGGAAGAGGAAGGCGCAGCAGCAACCTTTCAAATTCCTTGTCCATAAATGAGAAGAGCCCCTGGCACTGACTAGATGATTATGTTAGATCAGAAAAGGTCGACTTGAAAGGGAGTCATCTCCAGCAGCACAGCCACCAAGGAAAAGGACGAGTGGTTTTGGTCATGGTTACCCAAGAAGGAAAGCGCGTGGGACTCCCATCTTTAAACAGGCTTTTTGCCAGATGCTCTTCTCATTTATGGACAAAGAATTTTCCACTGGAAATTGAAAGAAGTGTTTTCTTTTTAGTCATACAGTTAATTTTAAAGAAAATGAAAAGTTAAACTAGCCATATTTAAATTAAGCAGCCAATTTCCATCATTCAGCCGTGGAGCTTAAAATTCCACGTAGTGTTGACATGAAAGATACTGCTCATCTGTCAATAGTTATCACTAATTAAAAGTTCCTTATAAATGCACTCTTTTTTTGACCATTTGCTAGGATGAATCTGCCCTGCAAGGACTATTCATTTGGCTTAAACTGGGAATTCACAACTGAAAACAACAACAGAAAACTCCCAAATATATACCAGAAGAGACTAACAGGAACAACCTGTGTTTCAGAGCTCAGTGCTGCACCATGATGGAAACAGAGTTAACCAGGTCCAGGAAGATCCCAGCACTGGTTTATTCTGTACTTCTGGAGACAACAGTGTCACCAAACACACATATAGTGCACAGGCATAGCCCTTGCCAACCACTATTTTGCATTATTTAAATTCAATGCAAATGCTAATGCTGAGTTTTGTGACATCTCCAAGTACACTGCTGCACTGCCAGCGGCAGTCCCACACCGAACTAACTAACCTACACAACCTAACCGACGAAAGGATTCATAAATAGATACACAGATGTCTTAAGAGGGTCATGATACAAATTATTTTTTTCCTTTAAATTAAGCTCTAAAGCAGCTATTTTCAATCAAACCCATGGGAGCTGCTGCTCTCTGTGTCCACAATACCCAACTCTTGTACACGGGCTGTATCTTACGTTCAAGGTCTAGAAGAATTTGCCTATCTCCATCCAGCTCTGCAGTTCTATGGCCAAGCAGAGGATAATTAACAGCAGTGGTCTGGTCATTATGAGCCTCTGGAATGATGCTGGAGAAGCACGCTTTTAGGGGACAGGATAAGATACGGAAGTGATACATCGACCATCCTCCACAGCAAATGGCTTTGGTCACTGATGGATGAAGGACCCTGAGCTGGATGGACAACTTGTCCAAGGCAGTGTTATAGCCTATTAATTGTCTTTGCTTTTCCCACCCCAGGGCTTTGCCAGCTTACAGGCACACAGCAGCCTTACAGTTCTCCAGGCCAGATGGAGCCTTGCAGGTGTGTCCATTTGGTACCAAGCAGAACTGCCTCCTCAGCCACGCACACCAATGAACCGGAGAATGAAATTAACTCCAACTGGTCTGCAGAGCACTCCCGATGGCAAACCCAGCCAGACAAAGCAAGGTAAGGGTTTTTTCCAAAAGCTAACTGCATACTATAAAGCTAAAAATACATTAAACAC